AAACGCAAAGAAAACACTATAGTGTGGTAAAAGGTTTTTCGAAACTACTTGATTTTTCTTTTTTTCTTTTCTCTTTTTTTTTTCTTGTTCTCTTTTTCTTTTTTTTTTTTTTTCTTTCTCTTTTTTTTTTTCTCTTTTTTCTTTTTTTTTTTTTTTTTTTTTTTTTTTTTTATTTTATTCTTTCTTTCTCTTTTTTTTTATTCTTACTCTTTTTTTTTTTTTTTTTTTATTCTTTCTCTTTTCTTTTTTTTTATTCTTTCTCTTTTCTTTTTTTTTTATTTTTTTCTCTCTTTTCTTTTTTTTTATTCTTTCTTTCTCTTTTCTTTTTTTTTTTATTCTTTCTTTCTCTTTTTTTTTTTTTTTTTTATTCTTTCTCTTTTCTTTTTTTTTTATTCTTTTCTCTTTTTATTCTCATGTTTTAGTGCAGCCTTTCTCAACCAGGGTGCCTTTGAGTTTTCTTCCGGCGTGCCTTGGCAAAATGTCTACAAATTGCCCAAAACTTGTATACAAGCCAGCAGGTGGAATAATCCTGCCTTTTCGTTAGACAAAGCCACAGGTTTTCATTGTTGATAAGGAGGATGTCTGCTGCCTGCACAGCATCCTAGTTTGATCCTCCCCTGCCCCTCTTTATGAGTGCTGGGGTCACATTAGCTCAGTGATGGACTAAAATCTGTGAATTCATTAAAAAAAAAAAAATAAAATAAAATAGGTCAACACCATGCCATAACTATTCAGACCCTTTGCAACAACACCTGCAATTTATCTTGGGTATCTCCTCTTTCTCATGATTGTTGCTGAGATGTTTCTATACCTTGATTGTAGTCCACCTGCGGTAAAATACATTGGACATGCTTTGGAAAGGCACACACCGCTCTATAAAAGGCATCACAGCTGAGGGTGTAAACTGTATCAGCGCAAAAGCCATGAGGTCAAAGGAACTGCTTGCAGAGCTCTGAGACTGGATTATTGCAAGGCACAGATCTGGGGAAGGCTACAAACAAAAAAAAAAAAAAAAATCATCTGTGCTGAAGATTTTTTTCCCAAGAGTACAGTGGCCTCCATAATTCTCAAATTGAAGACGTTTGGCACAACCAGGACTTTTTCAAGAGCTGATTGCCCGGCCAAATGGAGAAGAGAGGTGACCAAGGACCCGATGGTTACCCTGACTGTGCTCCACAGATCCTGTGTGGAGATACAAAGTTCCAGAAGGACAACCATCACTGCAGCCCTCCACTGATCTTGACTTTGACAGAAGCCTCTCCTCAGTGCAAAATACATGAACGTAGAGAAGAGAAACGGCAGCGCCACTCAAGTGTAGACTGTTAAAATCAGGCAGATTTCATGGTAAAATTGCACTCATATAGGTAGGTAACAGGTAGGCATGTCAAGTGATGGAGGTCCAGTGGGAGCATCAGGTCCTTTGACCGCACTCTGGGTGTGTGTTCCTGCCGCTCCGGTGGTGTCCAGGGCTTGGGGAGTAGCAGAGGGGCGCAGGGATGAAGTCACCGCATCGAACGGGTTTTCCAAGATGGTGCACATTCAGAGCATGCTCCTTCGTCAGGCTGATCAGCCTCCTAAACAAAAAAAGATCAACAATTTTGAAAAAAAGCCCAATATTTGACTTATTGCTATAAAACAATTAAAAATCAAATTTCATAAATTTAGGCCAAATAGTGTTCTGCTCCATGTCTTTGCTGAAAAAAAAAAAATCCCAATACATGTGTGAGTGTGGCGGGCATTCCAACTCCAGGTATGGAGATTGTTGTATAGTTCCACTGGTCCAGCTTGGAGCACTATAACTATGTATATACCACACCTGTCAGGTCCCTCTAGAATCTGGAAATCTCTGCACAGGCACTCCAGTGATCTCTACCAGCCTCCAGGTTCTGTGTTGAGTTGCTGGCATGATGCATTGTGAACACGGGATCACCTGCTCAGCATGGGCACCATTTAGAGATCGCTCTGCATTTTCTCAATGAATGCAAGGCATTCAGTGACTGGATGAGTTGGAGACTATGACATCACCTCTCCACCTTGTTCAGTCAGAGAATGCTTTGCATGCATTGAGGAGATGCAAAGAGGTCACTGAATGGTGCCCATGCCCAGTGGCCGACCTCCTGTGCTGATAATACAACAGGGCAGTTGCTTGACAGGACCTGGAAGTTAATGGAGATCAGTGTAGTAATGATTTCTGCTACAGTGACTTCCAGCTCTTAGAACAGTGGTCTCCAAACTGTGGCCCAGGGGTCAGATGCAGCCCCCTGCTTGTCATTTTCTGGTCCTTGGGGCACTATTACATCCACTGACACCAATGATGGAGCACTATTCCTCCACCCACTGACACCAATGATGGGGCACTATTCCTCCCACTAATACCAATGAAGGGGCACTATTCTTCCCACTGACACTGACGGGGCACTATTTCTCACACTGACACCAATGATAGGGCACTATTTCTCGCACTGACACCAATGATGGGGCACTATTTCTCGCACTGACACCAATGATGGGGCACTATTCCTCCCACTGACACCAATGATGGGACACTATTCCTCCCACTGACACCAATGATGGGGCACTATTCCTCCCACTGATACCAACGATGGTGAACTATTCCTCCCACTAACACCAACGATGGGGCACTATTCCTCCCACTGACACCAACGATGGTGCACTATTCCTCCCACTTGAGGGGCACTACACCAACGATGGCATACTATTCCTCCCACTGACACCAATGATGGGGCACTATTCCATCCACTGACACCAACGATGGGGCAATATTCCGCTCCAACACCAAAGATGGGGCATTGTTTATTCCCACTGATTCTAGGACATTTCCTGTTCCCATTTGCGACTGTCTTGCCCCCTCCTAAAGTGTGAAGCTCAGTAAACTAGCCTTTTGTTTAGAAATTTTGAAGACCCCTATCCTGGAGGGATTGTATAGGTATGACATAATTACATTGGCTAAAGCTGGAACTCCAGGTATGGAGAGTGATAAATCTGGAATTCTTTTTTAAATGCTGTATGCACATTTCTTGTGACAGGTTCTCTTATTTTATACAGCACCTCCACTGTCTATGAAAGACAGGTACTCTTTAACTGGTTCCCACCCGGCATATTGTACAATGATGGCACCGCTCTCATTCTGGGAGGAGGTCATATGACATCCTCCATATCTTTTTGCTCATGTGTGCCCCCAGGGATGCGCAGTGCGGCAATCAGTGCTGAGCTGTGTCCCTCAGACACAGTGCATCACTGATCAGTGTAAAGAGCCAATGATGTTGGCACTTTACCATGTGATTAGCTGTGTCCAATCACAGCTGATCACATGTAAAAAAATGCTTTCCTGTGACAGGGACATTTACACTTCTTATCAGTGCCCTGATTATCAGTGCAGCCCCATCAGTACAGCAATACCAGTGCCCATCAGTGTAGCCCCATCAGTACATGCATGCCCATCAGTGCCCATCAGTGCAGCCCCATCACTACAGAATGTCAGTGTCCATCAGTGCAGCCCCATCAGTACAGCATGTCAGTGCCCATCAGTGCAGCCCCATCAGTACAGCATGTCAGTGCCCATCAGTGCAGCCCCATCAGTACAGCATGTCAGTGCCCATCAGTGTAGCCCCATCAGTACAGCATATCAGTGACCATCAATGCAGCCCCATCAGTACAGCATATCAGTGACCATACAGCCAGTGTGCAGACCCATCAGTACAGCATATCAGTGCCCATCAGTGCAGCCTCATCAGTACAGCATATCAGTGACCATCAGTGCAGCCCCATCGGTACAGCATACCAGTGCCCATCAGTGCCCATCAGTACAGCCCCATCAGTACAGCATGTCAGTGCCCCATCATGCAGTGCCCATCATCAGTCACCATATGCAGCCCCATGCATATCAGTGCCCATCAGTGCAGCCCCAGCCCCATCAGTACAGCATTTCAGTGCCCATCAGTGCAGCAGATCAGTGGCCCATCAGCGCAACCTCTTCAGCACACATAAATGAAGAAGAAAAATTACTCATTTGCAAAACTTTATAACAGAAATGAAGGAAAATGTTTTTTTTTTTTTTTTTTTGCATTTGTTTAGCAAGAAATTAAAAAAAAAACGTGATGATTAAATGCCGCCAAAAGAAAGCTGTATCTGTCTAAAAAAAACCCATAGAAAAGGCCTTTGGGTACTGTGTTGCATGACCGCGCAATTACCAAAGTGCAACAGCACTGAAAGCTGAAAATTGGCCTGGGCATGGAGGGGGTGAGGGCAGGAAGGGGGGTGAAAGTGCCCGGTACTGAAGGGGTTAAAATAAAAAATGACCCATCAGATATAGCTGACGCTTTCTCTCCCTCTATGGGTGCCTTTTGCAGCCCGGATGCGGATCCCCCCTCCCCCCACTCTTTGCTGTGCATACAATGTATCATCCCTGGATATAGGTGTGCCTCTACTTTTGATACATTTGGATTCCTGCTGACGTGTCATGTCGCGATGCGGCCAGCAGATGGCGCGCCCTGTGTTAGTTCCAACAAATTAACCCGATTAATTGAGATGTCCCCACCCGCGCAGACCTCGTCCATGGGGGGCAGCCTCCTCTTTAACCTCTTCCCTTGCAGCCCCCCGTCTCTTAATCCCCCAAAGCCAAGGTGGGGGGGAGCTAGAAGCCGGCAAACAACAGCCCCCCATCCGCAGCTGCCAGACATTTGCAGGGTGCTGCTTTTAAATTGCACCTGGAGGGGGCATCGGGGCGTCCGATGGGGCAGATCTGCCCTGGGCTGCCTGGGAAAACGTCTGTAGGGGTGGGCTGGAGGGGTGTCCAGGCTGGGGGGGCCGTGGGATGGGGGGCTAGAGGGGGCAGAAAGGAGCGGAAGAAACACAAGTTGCTGCAAAGAGCTGCTGAGGCTGGCGAGGTTCTCAATTCGGTCCGCTCAGCCAGTACAAGAGCAGCAGAGCACCGACTGGCGGTTCAGACAAGGCAGCAGCTTCTGATCAGGACCAGCATCATGTCCCTGCAGCTGGAGGAGAACGTCCCCACCACTGAGGAGGAGGATGAGGAGGAGGAAGACGATGAGGAGGAGGATGATGATGATGATGAAGAAGAAGAGGAGGAGGAGGAGGAGGAGGAATCTGATACAAAGTCCTCTGGGAAGAGAAACAAAGGATCAGCTTCTTCTTCTTCCGGATCCAAAAAGAAGAACAAGAAGAAGAACCAACCCGGGAGATACAGCCAGCTGGTGGTGGACACCATCCGCAAACTGGGCGAGAGGAACGGCTCTTCCCTGGCCAAGATCTACAGCGAGGCCAAGAAGGTGTCCTGGTTTGACCAGCAGAACGGTCGCACCTACCTGAAGTACTCGGTCAAGGCCCTGGTCCAGAACGACACCCTGGTGCAGGTCAAGGGGGTCGGCGCCAACGGTTCCTTCCGACTCAACAAGAAGAAGCTGGAGGGGGGAACCCCCGAGAAGAAGGCGGCCCCTGCCCCCAAACCCGCCGCCAAGAAAGCGGCTCCCAAAAAAAGCCCCAGAAAGACCAAGGCGAAACCCAAGCCTCCTAAGATGAAGAAAGCCAAGAAGAGCAGCCCCAAGGCGGCGACCACGGCGGCGGCCAAGAGCACCAAGAAGAAGGCGGCCGGCGGCGGGGGCAAGAAGGTGAAGAAGGCGGGCAAGCTTAGCAGGGCCAAGGTGCACAAGGCTAGGAAGGCGTGAGGGGGCGCCGGAGAGGACTGGGAGCTTTTGTCTTGGGAAGCTTAGGCCACAATGAGACTTGTAGTTCTGCAGCTGCTGCCCAGCAAAAAGCGCTTTATTTTCTGTTCATGCAACGATGGGAATCTCTGAATGATCTCTTAATATCCCTCGGGCCCCCGGACAGGAGGGCGAGGAGGTCAAAACCTTTCCCGCTTCGTCCAATGGGGCGTCCGATATCGAGACTGAGCCACTTTCTTCTAAACACCTAGCGGCCGCGCCTTCGAATCGCAGGCTCACATCACAAAGCTTCCCAGGAGGATGAGTATCTTTATTTCCAGTCCTGACTGTCATTTTCAAATCTCATTGGACTCAGATCAAAATAACTGTCACTTTTTTTTTGTTTGTTTTTTTTTTTTGTTTTTTTATAAGTATCTTTGCCTTAGTGCGTTAGCTTTGTGAATTGAGCCTATTGCATCGGTCTGTTCTCCTCTTTAGAATTTCGTAAAAACAATCTGCGCATCCCTATTGGCTGTCGGTGCTGCCGAGCAGGTGTCTCCGTAGCAACGGCATTGGGAGGGTGGGGCTGATGTGACAGCTGCCTTGTTGGACTGTGGGAAGTAAGGGGGGGGGGGGGTGGTGGTGGAGGGGAGGAGGGGATTGTGAAGTTTTCATTGTTTTCTATCATTTTTTTTTTTTTCGTGCCTGTTTTGGAAACCGAGTAGCCTTGCTGGGACCACGAGATCTTCATTTTATTTAAATGTTGTGTTGATCGCAATTTATAAGCTTTTTATTTTGCACATCGGTGTTTTATTTTTATGTGATCAAGACGGTCTTTTATGATATGTTATTGTTTTTGGTTACTTTTTATGCTGAATAAAAAAAAAAAAAACATTGCTACATTGTTGTGGTTATTGATCAGAAAAAAAAAACTTACAGGGGTATATTTATAAGGCTCCAGTCGCATTAGTGCGCCTCCAAAATTGCACCATTTCCAATGCAACTTTGATCCGTATTAAGCCCGGGTTATTATTATTATTATACAGGATTTATATTATTATATATTATTATTATACAGGATTTATATAGCTCCAACAGGTTGCTCAGCACTTTACAATATAACGGGAGACAATACAGCAACAATACAGTTCAGTACAAGAGGGTTAGGAGGGCCTGATCCTTGGAGCTTACAATCTAGGAGGGTTCACACTAATGCAGTGCTGTATATCACACATGATTTGTGTGCGGTGCGATCGGAGACGTACATTTTGTATGGCTCAAATCGCACCGCATCCGCATCAAAAAGGTGCAGGACCCTTTTTTTCGTCAGCACTAGAATCGGATCGCATGGGTATTCACACCTATGCGATCTGATTCTGCACGTTGCACCACATTTTGCGGACCGATTTCGGGGTATTGTTAACATACACAACTGCAGCGGTTTGCATGAACGGGGTGCGATTGTGATGTGGTGCGGACTTCGCACAGAAAACGCTGAGAATTCCGCACCGCATCAGTGTGAACCAGGGATAAGTCTTTAGTCGCACTGATGCAGCGAAGGATTTGCAGCGATTCCTGTGCGTTTCCCACATAGCATGTGATCTGCTGCTGGTGTTAATGTTAACGACACCCGAAAAATGGGTCAAAACTTTGGAGCGTGACCAGGGGCGGACTGACAACTCATGGGGCCCCCGGGCAATAGGGGATCATTGGGCCCCTGTGTCCTTGCCCAAACTCAAAGCACACCCAAAAAAACCTATAAAAGCTACCAGGGGCATTTCATGGGGCCCCCTACTGACCCTGGACCCTCGGGCAGTGCCCGAGTGCTCGAATGGTCAGTCTGCCCCTGAGCGTGACTGATCTGAATTAAGTCTTGGTTTGCACTGATGCAGCGCAGGATTTGCAGAGATTCCTGTGCGTTTCCCACACAGCATCACAATCGCACTGTGTTCATGTGATCTTCTGCGGGTGTCAATGTTAACGACACCCCAAAAACAAGTCGCAAAAGACAGTACGATCGACTGAATTGGACTGCATGGGTGTGAACACCCATGCGACCCGATTCCATTGCGACAAAAACTAGGTGCCAGCGCCCTTTTGCATGCAGATGCGGTGCGATTTGAGCAATACAAAATGAATGGGCTCAAAATGCAACGCACAGAATCGCATTTGATTTGAACAGGAATGAGGTGCGATTCCTGTGGGAATCACATGCAGTCCCCCGCACCGCACCAGAGTGAACCTAGACTTACACTCTGTAGACCAAAGTCGCACCAAAGCAGTGCAGGCACCTTTTTTTAAAATCGCTGCGACTTTTGCATTGATCTGAAAGGGTTCCATTGCAGACAATGGGCTGCGACCAGGGGCGGACTGACAACTCATGGGGCCCCTGGGCAATTGGGGATCATGGGGCCCCAGTGCCCGAGTTTCCAGATGGTCAGTCCGCCCCTGGCTGCGACTTGTCAGGTCCCAAGCCGCACACGTGTGAATAGCCCTAAAGCAGTGAATCTGACATTCACCAAACATTCGCTGCAGGTGAATCTTCCAGGTCTATGTGTTTTTTAGTGATGGATTTGCCACCAGTGAATGTTTGTTGAAAGCCCCATTCAGGCCCCATGCACACAGGACGTTTGCCCAGCTCTCCTAAACACCTTTCCTCTTGGCAGCAGTGTTTGGGCATTAATTCATTTCATTGATCAGAGTAATCATTTATTCTATCTAGTGGAATGAATTAGCGCACATGCGATAAGTGTGTCTAGAGTTAACGTGCAAAAAGGCAAAAAATGGTGTAGCGCTAATAAATATTATACCATAAACATGATAAATATATGTGCATAACCAGGGGCGGACTGACCATTTGGAAACTCGGGGGCACTGCCTGAGGGCCCAGGGTCAGTAGGGGGCCCCATGAGATGCCCCTGGTATCTTTTTCATAGGCTTTTTTGAGTTTGGGCAAGGACACAGGGGCCCCATGATCCCTTATTGCCCGGGGGCCCCATGAGTTGTCAGTCCACCCCTGTGCATAACACACAAACATAAATACCAAGTGGTAAGGATCCTGTCTGGATCCAATGGTGAAAATATTCTCCATAGTGAAACGGGCCACAAAAAATCCTGTGACGTGAAACCACAAATGTATACAACCAGGGGCGGACTGACAACTCATGGGGCCCCCAGGCAATAGGGGATCATGGGGCCCCTGTGTCCTTGCCCGCACTCAAAGCACACCCAAAAAAGCCTATAAAAAGGTGCCAGAGGCATTTCATGGGGCCCCCTACTGACCCAGGGCCCTCGGGCAGTGCCCGAGTGCTCAAATGGTCAGTCCGCCCCTGTATACAACCCCCTATCCCCACGTGGGGGATAAATACATCACAAAAAATGATATTATATATAAATAGTGAATATAAAGTAAGTACCCTAAAATCAGGGATAATAAATTGTGTCCCCTGACAAGGGGATAAACCTTTAACTTAAATTTTAAATGATGGTAATAACCAGGGGCGGACTGACCATTTGGAAACTCGGGCACTGCCCCATGATCCCCTATTGCCCGGGGGCCCCATGAGTTGTCAGTCCGCCCCTAGTAATAACAAACAAGTGAATAAACATAACATAAAAAATTCCAGTCCACATAAAACCAGTCCAATTCAAAAAAATCACATGTGAACTTATACACGTGATCCACAAACGACGATCATGCGCGTGATGACGTGAAACTCGTGCTCACAGCAAAGGTGTAAAAATCCAACAAAGGACAGAGTGCCCCCTCACCTCCTTATGGTGACCACAAGGGCCAGCTCGCTTTTTGGATCACCCACGATCCTTACAGGAACTATAACGTCGCAGGGGAAATCACCGCACTGGGTCTCATCAGTAATAGCACCAGGGGCAGACTGACCATTCGAGCACTCGGGCACTCCCCAAGGGCCCGGGGTCAGTAGGGGGCCCCATGAAATGCCCCTTTTTTATAGGCTTTTTTGAGTGTGGGCAAGGACACGGGGGCCCCATGATCCCCTATTGCCCAAGGGCCCCATGAGTTGTCAGTCCGCCCCTGAATAGGACTTAGTCCTCCTGGGTCCACTCCAGATATAGATACTTGCTCTTACTCCATCAGAGGATCGTAGTAATAAAACAAAGAAGAGCCTCCATAGTGTAATCCAGTTTATTACATAAATAAAATGAAAAAACGCCCAAAATTGCCCACTTGCATATAGATCTAGGAACAATCAGCCTTTCCTCATGTAATGGGTGTACTGCATGGGTATCCTGGTGTACCAAGATGGCACCCACGCCGTAAAAATGACGTCACCGCAAAACAGAAGTCCGTCACCGCGCACCAACGCTTTATGTCACGCTACCCACGTGACTTCATCAGGGCCCTCCTGCTGACCTGGGCCCTGTACAGGAGGACTGATAGTACCCCCTTATCCACGGCCCTGTCCCCAACTATATGTGTCCATGTACATATAGGTGTTTAGAGGCAGAAAATCTACCCCATTGCCAGTGTATCCAGGAGCAGCAGCGTTTTGGCAGATAAAATGCTTGATGCGTGTAAACGCGTTTTGGTGCATCAAGCGCTTGGTGTTATTTTATTCAATTGGCCAGAATAAGAATTTGTTTTTCCATTGAAATGAATGAACGCTCAAGCACTAAGGGCTAACGTACATTTATACGTGTCCAGGGGCGGACTGACCATTTGGAAACTCGGGCACTGCCCGAGAGCCCGGGGTCAGTAGGGGGCCCCACGAGATGCCCCTGGTACCTTTATCATAGGCTTTTTTGAGTTTGGGCAAGGACACAGGGGCCCCATGATCCGCTATTGCCCGGGGGCCCCATGAGTTGTCAGTCTGCCACTGTACGCGTCAAGAGTTTTTTCTGCCAAAACGCTGCTGCTCCTGGACGCGCTGGCAGTGGGGTAGGTTTTCTGCAGCTACACACCTATA